TCTCTCTCTCTCTCTCTCTCTCTCTCTCTCTCTCTCCTTATCTCCAAACTCTTTCACAGTATTTATACCTATATTCCGGTCGGCACTCCAGGTGCGGGTCTCACTCATAAAATTGTTGGTGAGGGTGTTATACAAAAGTATTTGATTACTGTCTCCAATCTTCTCCACAATAATCACCGCCTGATCTCCTTTGCCGCAGACCGTCAACTGATCCATGAATACGGAGGCGTCGCCCCTCTTGAAGGGCTCCTTCAGTGGGCCCTTAAAGTTGTGTTGATTGGGCGGGAAGTTCTTGTCGGAGAGGTACCAGTAATAGCCGCCACTAGTCATGAACCACATGTCGTGTTTCGGTATATATGTTATGGAATCGAGTTTCGGGTTTCGACATAAATCCGGTTCACTTAACACACAGTTTGTGAATACAATGATCACCAGTATATGAGATATCATTTTAGTGAAGATTAACCACTCAAACGTTGGTAATAAAATTGTGTAATAAACTGTCAAAAACGATTTATTGTATAACAGAATAAGAGTTGGAAAATGAATTTTTAAATTTGATTAATTATTAGTAGAGTAGCAGAAAAGACTAATTGTTGCGCGGACCAATATTAATAGCGTTAAAAAGTTTAGTTTTTAGTTTTCAGACTAGATTAAAATAGCCTAACCATTAGTTAATAATTTGCTACCCTAATTATTAGCAGCTCAATACTTTATGAACTTAGAAAGCATTTGATTTCTACATTGAATGAAACTATTAGTTAACGCTAAATGATAACAGATATTGAATTAAAGTGTTAAATAAGAAGTTAAGCGCTTCTTGTCGGAGAGGTACCAGTAATAGCCGCCACTAGTCATGAACCACATGTCGTGTTTCGGTATATATGTTATGGAATCGAGTTTCGGGTTTCGACATAAATCCGGTTCACTTAACACACAGTTTGTCAATACAATGATCACCAGTATATGAGATATCATTTTAGTGAAGATTAACCACTCAAACGTTGGTAATAAAATTGTGTAATAAACTGTCAAAAACTGTTTATTGTATAACAGAATAAGAGTTGGAAATGAATTTTTAAATTTGATTAATTATTAGTAGAGTAGCAAAAAAGACTAATTGTTGCCCGGGACCAATATTAGTAGTGTTAAAAAGTTTAGTTTTCGGTTTTCATTGAAAAATAGCCTAACCATTAGTTAATAATTTGCTACTCTAATTATTAGCAGCTCAATACTTTATGAACTTAGAAAGCATTTGATTTCTACATTGAATGAAACTATTAGTTAACGCTAAATGATAACAGATATTGAATTAAAGTGTTAAATAAGAAGTTAAGCGCCACTCATATGAATGAATGTTTACTTTGATGTCAACTAAACTTTTTTATAAGTTTTTTGTTTAGTACTTATTAAATGGCCGTTAATGTTGCCAGAATACATACCGAATTAAACTTGGTACTCTTGGCAAATATCAAATTACTACACATAAGTTTTAGTAAAATAAAATAGTTTTAATAAGTTTGAAACTTTGTCAACACATTGATGCCGTACTTTGTGTACCAATGAACACATGTTTTGCATTTGATTTGAAAACAAACATAATTTTGACAATAAATGACAAAATCATTAATCGTTTCATAGTTTCCCCGAAAACATAGCAATGCTTTCGACAATCAATTCATTGAAACACGTATTGAGACAACACTTCAGCAGTCATTGGAAATGCTTGTCATCCATGAGTTCATCACAAACTCCAGGTAAAGATGGGACCAAAGGGTGACTCATTTTAAACGACAATTTGTTGGCCACAGAAATGGGATCCGTCTTCGGGAAGGAGCGAGACTTCGAGGACCTGACTGTCGACACATTCAAAGAGTTGGTCACCGATGACACCGTCAGAGACAAGATTGAGACCATTTTGAGTGAATACGAGTACGAGAAGTACACGACTCTTCAGGTGCCGACCACTATCACCACCACTCAGATGAAGGACTTGTTGTGTTTGAGTGATTCACTCGAGAGGAAGAGATGGCTGACATATCTCTGCAAACGACAGAAAGCCAGACATAAGTCCAATGAGAAGCGGAAGAATAACTCAATGGATTACTTGACGCGATTGCAGCAGAAGTACAGTGAAGACAAACCACGAACTGGTCTCTGGGATAATGACCATCAGTTGGTGTACGGCTTATGGCATAACACGCTGTTCACGAAAATACCCGCAAATCACATAAAACGGCATTACATCCATCGACTCAGAAATGCGGCCCTTTTTGGTCAGAAAGTGGTGATAGACCTGGACTTCGATGACTGCATGCGGTTGTCTGAGACACGACTGTTGGCACAACAGATCCATTTGCTCTATAACTTCAATCGCTACCAAAGCCGAGAGCCCTTTGACCTGCACT